AAAAGACCCTGATGCTGGGAAAGATTGAGGGCAGGAGGAGAAGGGGATGACAGAGGATGAGATGGTTGGATGGCATCACTGACTCAATGGACATGGGTTTGGGTGAACTCCGGGAGTTGGTGATGGACAGGGAGGCCTGGCATGCTGCAGTCCATGGGGTCACAAAGAGTTGGACATGATTGAGTGACTGAACTGAACTGAACTGAGAGGTGGGAGTTTTTAAACTAAAATTATATGCAAAATTATGTGTGTGTAGCTATGTATGTATACACAAATGCACACCGTAAAAAACTACAAGTGCCTCTGACGTTATTTATAAGTTCCCTGAACATCAACTTTGGACCCTACTTTAAGAACCCCTTTCTTAAGGAATAAGCAAGCTTCCAACTGATATCAAAAAGTTCTGAAATGTATCATTCAGAAGTTTAGCACACAAAGCATATGTGAATCAGACATATTAACTGTATTCTACATCACTGGAATGTTCTCCATTACCCTTCTTCCCAAAGAAAGTTAGTTGAATTATTATTTTAATGTAGTTTCCCTGAGAAGCAGTTACCCTAGTAGAAAACATCCTGTCACTGTTCTGAGAACGCTGAGATCCTAGAATATGAACACTTCTTCCTCATGAGAATGCCTGAGCATGCTGTTACCCAAAAAATTAAAAAAAATAAAAAACTTAAAAAAACTGGATGATCTTAGATGAACAGCTGTGTAGAAAGGAGACTGTAAAAATAAAAACTGCATGTTGGAGCATCAAAATAGTAACCATGTACAGTATATGACTGTTTTTAATCAGCTGAAGATTGAAGCTATTACATTTCAAATTGAATGTTATAAATTAGTTCAAGAATGCAGCTGAGCTCACATTTAATTAGAAATGTCCATGTTTAAATCATGAGGTACAGTAGCTGCCAATGAAGTAAAAGGGCAACGGAAGGGAGAGGTACTCTGCCCAGACCCTCCCATTGTCCACTGTCTCCTATGCTGGCCGAGACTCTGGGGTGGACCAGTCCTGATGTGATGAAGAACTTCATGTCCTAGCTAATTTGAGACTTAATATAACCGAACATAATTGTTTTGAAGACAATTAAAATCATTATTCTGGACTGAACAATTCTGAACTCTTCATTTTCGTGTGAAATGTGTTTTCCCCCAATGCTGAATTTTAACTCTTTCTTAGAGGAAAAGTAAACCAAATTTTGGGCCGAGATTTCCCCAGAGAAATAATCCACAGATTGTCAGATCATGTTAAAAATGCAGCACAAGCAGTGAGGTACACCTTTGGAAACAAGCCTCCTTTCCTATTTCTAGGGCTTGATGTAGCTCAGCTAGAGTCCAAATCTACATCCCAAATGTTAACACCTCCCTGTTACCTAAAAATGAGGCAATACCGCAGAGGATTTCTGAGGTCACAGAGAGAAGTCTGCAATCATCCTACAGCAGACTTTCCCCCAAAGCTTATGGGCCTCTGAATCTCATAATTAACCAGCGAGACAGTCCAGGCAAAAGGTCTTTCTTTTCTCCCAATTTGCTTAATTCAAAAACACCTCAAGTGACATAGCTCAAATTTTCCAAATTAAACTCACCCCTGGGGCTGAAATCAAGCATGTGACAGTTCAGTTCTAAAGAAAATCTTAAAGAGAGTTGTGCACAAGAAAAAAAAGAGAAGAAAAAAAAAAATCAGAGGAAAAAGGGGTAGGAGTTAACATTTAAGTGGGTTTTCAACCTCATCATTACCCCTGCTCAAGAAAATAGAACACAGATGGGCGAAACACACCATCGTTCTGCCCTGAAGAGTCTAAGGAACTCATTAAAAACTAGTGTTGTTTCCTCATGGTCTATCGTGGATTTGTAAGGGGACACAATGATTGATTGGCTGCATCCCACAGCATTGGGTGTTCCACACCGTCGTGGGGTGGAAAGTGGAAGGATGAGTCACAAAGATACTGTGTGCCACTGCAGCCCCTGAAAGCTTATTGTTAACACAATTCTTCAAGGTCGATTTTTCCCAGGGAACTGAGGAGTGATTATATTGTCCCAAGCTGTTCTGATTTGTAAAAATGGTTTCCATTAAGTAATAACACACTTCCCACAAACTTTCTCTTACTTCTGGCCACAGCACCACACTCTTCCACTCCGACACCAGAGAGAGGGTAAATGGGAATCAGGTCCACTGCTCCCAGGCAAGGATGGATCCCCTCCTGAACCTCCATATCGATAGACTGGAAGGCTTCCAAGCAGGCAGCCAGAACAGAATTGCCTTAAAAATGTAAAATTTAAAAAAAAATAAAATAAAAGCATTATACTCTCAATTGCATCTAAAGAAGCAGCTATAATTATTATTGTCCTACCAGTTTGTTTTCCTTTCTTAAAATGTATAGAAGATTGTTTTTTTATCCAAAATAAAGAAAAATGTAAGATCCAACATTTCCCCTCTCCCCACCTCCCAAGTGTCATAAAGTTTCCCATATCTTCTAATTCTTTACTTCCCAAAGTGGAAGAAGTAAGCAAAGTTTATTGGTCTTAAAAAAACTTTGTATCTTTTTTTAATAATTGGTTACTTCCAATTTTTTCAACTTTATCAAATTAATCTGATAAAATTCTGTTTTTTTCAGAATATTTTATGAGTTTATATTAAAACAGATAAACATAGCATAGCATCACCAATTCAACGAACATGAACTTGGGCAAACTCTGGGAGATAGTGAGAGACAGTCAGACCTGGTGTGCTACAGTTCATGCAAAGAGTCGGACATGACTTAGTGACTGAACAACAAAGACAAAAATATGTTTTTAAAAGTATACCATAGGTATTTTAGTTTTGCTCTTATAACTAGATTTTCATTAAATTTTGTATGTGTGTTAAGTCGCTTCAATCTTGTCCAACTCTTTGCAACGCCATGGGCTGTAGCCTGCCAGGCTCCTCTGTCCATGGAATTATCCTGGCATGAATGTTGGAATGGGTTGCCATTTCCTTCTCCAGGTTCATTAATTATTCTATCTAAATACATATAGACACCTCAGAGTGTTATTACTCTTGAGTTTTCATTATCAGTGCAGTATGACCATTTTGGTCCTATATTTGCTGAGAATCATCCATCAGCTCTTTGCTTTCCAAACAAACATACCTTTTGAGAAAAAACAATCTGCTAAGTTGAAACCAAGTTTATCTGAAAATAATTTAAATTCTTTACCAAGCAATGCTAGGGATAATACAGATTTTTGTTTAATCAAGTATGATCCTTCAAATTCAAGCTGTCCCACTAAACCTTACAACAGGACACATGAAACCCATTTCATTTCACCCAATGGACCATCTCAAAATTTCAGGCTCCTGATGCAAAACACAACTGCTTAGCATGTTTCATTTCAAGTCAACTTATCAGTGAAATCAAATTCAACACTATGGCTTCACAGGTTAAAACCTGAAGATATTTTTCTTAACCACAAAAAAATATGTGACCATCTACAGGGAAAGAATGTTATTAAATACTGGACCCCAAGATTCATTTTAATGAAGAGGAAGCAGGAAATGAATATCTCAAAGATATACCCATTCAGAAAAATGAAGAAATGCAGTTTTGAGGTAGACTTCTTATGCATGGAGAAGAGTATTCAGATTAACACCGGAAATCAATGATTAAGGAGCATTTGGGTCTACTGGAAGCCGACCCTTCACCAAAAGACATATATAGAAAAAGAAACTGAAATCTTACCTATCTCCTCAATAGAAGCTGCTATTGTAATAACTGATCTATTATACTCCGGATCAGAAAATATATTGAGCACTGATACTTCAGGATGTCTCTGTCCTATATAAAAAAACAACACATAAATGCAAGAATTCTTTTTTCTGGTGAAATACTTTATTTTTCTTGATACAACAAAATTTAGCTTAACAGAAAGATTTGGGGGAAGGGGTGACCTCTGAAGTGACACTGACTAGTCAAGAAATTCATAGACAGTAATGTCCACTTCCTACATTGTCTTCCTTTACAATCGGATGGCTCAGCTCAGATACTAGGCGTTGGTGTCTATGAGAGACCTTCTCTTGCACTTGCTTCTGAATTTGTCAAAGTTCTCTTAACTCAGTCCAAGATGATAGCCTCTTCTGTTAGCAAATTGTATCACACTAAATTCTGTTTCCTTTCAATCTCATCTTCTATGCCTGGGCAATTTTTCCTTCCAAAACCAGAGATCAAACCGGATCAAAAAATAACATCTGGAAAAACTAGGATAGGCCAATTAGTGCCTAGAGCAGAGGTTCCTGGGATACATGCACCTGCCTATTAGAAACTGTTCTGACTCCAGCATCTCCTTTTCAAAGGCCACCAACAGCCTTCAGATGTTAACGACTTCCAGCCTTCAGCCACGTGTGACTCACTGAAATGTGTAACCTGGAGGAGAAAGCTGCCATACCCATGTATGGTGGCCACCCATAACCCCGTGGTTATTTTTGAAGTTTACAAGCCTTGCTCAAGCTCCTTAAAAGTTCCTCGTATGCCTACAAAAGCAAATTCAAAGTGAAGGACAAAAGTTTTCAGGCGGTAATTAAGCCTTTCACTATGCCATTATACCTTTGTCGCCCTGTCCCCTGGCAGCTTAACAATTAATCTATTCAAGGAGAGGGAAAATAACTTACATACGGAACTACAGAGCTTACAGCAGCCCTACGCTATTAATTTTAATAATGTGAAAAGATAAACTTATGTCACTCACTCATAGCCAAATGAGCATCTACAGAGACCTACCCTGGTGTAGGTCTAAAATTTATAACTCAGCTTTCTTTACATAAGACCTTTCAGACCATTTAAGTGTTTTCACATTGCTTAATTGGAAAAAATATAGGTGATATAGTTTGATTCCACTCACTTAAAAATAAATGCCTTTAAAGTATCCGTAAAACAGCAGGTCATTTTCTTAACTAGTGCTACCTTCCCTGAATTTTTAAAACTATGAAAGACAGAGCAGGAACGAGATCATACAACCTCCTTTTTATGTATTTTTTTCAACATACTTTAGCTTTTAGAAGAAAAGAGATAATTTTATTTTTTTCATCCGAAATCTTCTTCTGAAAAGCTTTTATTCTCAGTTTCATATGATTCAATTGATTCAAACGCTGAAAGAATGAAACTCTCTCCTGCAATTTCTTAAGCATGCATATAGAAAAAAAAATTACTTCTGGCAGGAGGAGCTGTCAGTATGAATCTCAGCAGAAGTAAATTGTTTGGTATTTGTAATGGAGTATAATAGCTATAATTCCATTTGAGCTACTGCCACTAATAAGCTGATTAAAAACTGTGAGTTGAGACCCAGGCGTCCATCAGCGTGTGACTTCCACAAATGTCTCTGCCCAGTCATTTAATCACAGAATGTGTCTCTGTACATTCACCCAATCCCATTAGATGTACTATCTGACAATGTGGGGCCCAAGCTGGCTCTTCCCACAAAGAGAATGCAAAAGCACAGCTGCATGCTGACTCCAGAGGAGCTTTCCTATCAGCAATTATCAGGAATTTTCACAGACATTCCTAGCCCCCCAACGTTGCTAGATGGTAACTTAAATGTGCTCAGTGTTAGAAACACTAGGAAAAGCACCTCTCTCTCATGAAAAGCAATAACCAGATCAAAAATTACAATCAGAAATTAAAATAGACTGTTTCAAATGCTTCAGGGCTATGACCCTAATACTCACCTGTTGCCATAAAGCTGTTGATTTAATAACAAAGCTTTTGTATTTAAATGATGGTAAACCTGTAAATACACTATGTTTTGTGTATGTGTGAAAGTAAAAACAAATAATATCTAGAACTATATGTCATCACATGATCATTTTAACAAAGTTTAAGAAAAGAGAGAAAGAGTAGCATCTCTAATAGTAAATACTGGTCCAGGGGGTAAAGGAGTTTCAGTCTTCTGAATTTGATTGGCCGAATGATCTTACACACATTACTTAAACGCCTAAGAGTCTTCACACGGAGAAAATGGAGTAGAAATATTAATGCTGTAATGACAGCCTAGGCTTTGCTGGCAGGAGTGCTTTTGAAAAGTACTTGGTATTCGACAAGTTTATTTTTTATTTAACCTGCTAAATAAAAAGCATAATGAATTATGCTCATTCTATTAATGATCATACACATGGCCCATGAGGGAAACATTAAACCTGTAAGTGAATATATCCTCTTCAGGAGTCTGTCAATATCCTGAACAATGTGCATTTCAGACACCCTCTCCAATGTGAAGAAATATGCTTGTGGATGGTATGCAGGCATTTGGAAGAGAGTGTATGTGCACATCTGAGTAAGTGATCTATCTCAGCATTCTGGAGCCAAGCTATGATAGCCCAAGAACAAGGGAGAAAATTCAGGAAGAAAGCAGAAGTGTGTTCTATGGACACTGTCAGCAGAATAAAAAAATTATTATTATTATCAAAACACTACAGATTCACATCTATTGCCTGTTGTTCCTACCATTTCTTTCAAGAAGAGCAGCTTTCGCTATGTTCTCAACAATGTACTTTTTTCTGGCTTCTGAAATGTTTAATAAACAGGCAGCCAAACGGAGCCCCACTCGGCAAGAAGACATGGTGGTTTTCTTCTAGAAAAGGAGAAAAATGAGTCTTCATTTTGGTTTCTACAGTTTATTCATATTTTCACATTCATTAAACATTTAAAAAGTCATAGCTGTTTGGAAACCAGGTAGCCATAACATGAATACTTTACTATTTCAATAGTAGGAAACACCTAAAGGATAATATCTCACATTGACAGCCAAAAAACCATGCACATGAGGTCATGCACATATGAACATGTGAAGACAGTAACAGACTAGAAAATATCCATCAAGTTTTCAGTCTGAATTCTGTCATGGGAAACTTTCATTAAAGTATGTCATTCTCTTTTAAATAATGCCTTCTATAGTTTAATCCTGTTTCTGAAGAAGCATGATACTTTTGTTAAATAAGATTATTGGGGAAATACAGAAAAGAGAAACGAGAGATTACTTAATATGCTGATTCTTACAAAAACTATCCTGACAGAAAGGGTACCTCCACCAGCCATGCCATGGATAGTACATGAACATATACAAAGGAGATTCACTTGGAGGTTTTAAATGACAACTGTTTGATTAAGTTCCTCTTGTACTTCGATCTCCATAGTCCCTAAACCAGTTTAAAATCTTTCACAGGACTTTGTACATTGAACTAAAAGCTGACATGGAGTACTCGGATAAGTTACTCAATAATCAGCCAAAAATGTGACTGATTTCTTTGAAAATGGAATCATCATACAAGTTTTGGAGGTTGCTTTGACTTTCTTCAGTACCCCAGAACAGTATTTTCAACTAGTTATCTTTCCAAACTTCAAATGATATTATGAACTTAAGTTTAAATATTGCAAAACAAAAAAATCCCCCCTTTTTAAGATCAGGTCATCGTATTTCCACCTCTTTTAAATATAGCTAAAAGTGAAGGTGGCCCTCATGAACTCATTCAGTAAAGTTTACTGTGGAACATTTTGTGACAGGTAAAGTCCTCCCTGTGAGGGGTACTGCAGAGAACTGTGCACAACTGAGACACACATTAAGCTCGTGAGTTAAAGCTAACATGCTATGGTGTGATTAATAGCGTTCTCCGTGCATAAATCCAATGGCTTCTGTTCACTAGGACTGTTCCTTGGCCTGATCATTCTAACCTAAGAGGAGATAACAGGGCTTCACCATTAGTTCAAGTTTTCACATCGTGACCATCATCTCACGGTTGAAAATTCAGAAAAAAACAGCGTCATTAGGATTCTGTAGACATTAATAACACTGTTGCAATAGGGCAGCTCAGACCTCTCTCGTTTTTATGTAAACAAAAAATTGCTTTACACAAGGGGTGTGGGCGTCTTCTGGCTTTCATTTGTTTTCTGTGTGTTTATGTAGCTTAATTGTCTCATCAGGCACTTTCCCAACATAATTATGCTTTTTAACAAATGGTGTTTATGGCAACCCCTAACAGTGCAAAAGAAAGGATTAGTTTCATCCTCTCATTCCACATTTTGATTCCCTGTGGACAGCTAAATCACACAAAGATGGTGTTAGAAAAATCTACCTTCATTGCAAAAGCTGAAATTAGCGGCAATATCAGGCTTTTGGCAAGCACTCAGGCTTATTAGTAGAAAGGGCAAGTCTTTCTCTTCCTCCTCCTCCTCTAAGAATTTGACCCCGAGCAAGACCCCAAACATTTGTGGTTTGAGAGGATGATCGTAATTCGCCCACCCCTTGGATCACCTTTGGGATTACTTCCGGCTAGAGACCCAAAACCTGCCTCCCTCGGAGGAACTGGGTGGACCAGTGCGGAGCAGAGCAGTCCCCGGCGCTCTGCCACATCACCTGCGTCCGGCGCACGCACCACCGCTAGCACTTTAAGGCCGCAGAGGCTCGTCCCGGAGGCACAGCGCAGTGCGGGGCAGACGCCGCCACGGGCCCTCCCTGCGCCGACCCGCGCGGGTCCTAGCGTGGAGTGGCCCAGAGCCCCGTGAGACGAGGGGTGGGCCGAGGGTAAGACCGAGGGACTCGCTGTGGGGCCCCCGGGGAAGCCAGCGAGGGGATCAGCGTCCGCGGGAGGCGGGGCCGGGAGCCAGGGGCGGCGGGCGGCGGCGCTCCCGCGGGCCCGCCTGGAGCTTGCGGCCACCTCGGCCGCTCCGCGGTTTGCGGGGGACCCACCTGCGCGAGCGGCGGGCGGCGGGGTAGGACGGCGCGGTAGGACGGCGCCGAGCCCAGGCGCCGCGTGACCAGCGCGCCGCTTCCGCCGCCGGCCCCGCCTCCCGGGCGCGCTCCAGCCCCACCGCCCGCTGGCTGGGCTCAGATCTGCGCTTCCTTCCTGCCTCTTCCCGACCCGACCCGACCGCGTGCTGCGTCCCGGAGAGCTTAACCTTTCTTCTAGAAGTGCCTTCCCACCCCGCCTGCTTTAACTTGGAAATCTCCACGGTTCTCTTGCAAATGAATGACTTTTTAAAAGGGAATTAGAATCTAATGATGAGGTCATTACTCATTGATCCTACACCAGCAGGGGGCTCTTTTCTCTATTTACACAGAAACTCCCCACCCCCCCGCACACACACCCCTTTGATAAATTCCCTCCTGAGAAACACTGTCCGCGAGCGACTGTGAATATGATCTGGACCAAGACAAAAGCATATACCCGTTTAGTCAAAATTACGAGTAGGAACCAGGCATTAAGCCTTTCCCTTTTTTCTAGGCCAGTGAACCTTGAGAATACATTTCTCTTCCAAAAAAAAAAAAAAAAAAATCAGGACCTGCTTTCTTTTTAATGTAACAAGGATTAAATGTCACCATTTTGATCCAATTTTGTTCCCGAAGTGAAATAATCACTAAATAACTACTTGGGTGGAATACATTAATTTTTAAATCTATTTTTTATTTTCTAATTATACTTTTTAAACACAGATTTGAGGAAATTAACATTTATGTGGACATTTGGTTTCTAGCCTAATGTGGCATAAAAATAAGTAACATAATGAGTGTTAAAAAAAATCAGGTTCATGATGCTTCTCACATCATCATCATTGTGCTTAGATGTCACAACAGTATTATGTGCGATTGTGTCAGATCCAGCCTTCTCCATCTCAGAGTGTTGGCAGGTAGGAGGGTTGTTGGCAAGAGGAGGGGTGTTAACCTCAGGATCCTGGATCCTTTCCAAGGCTGGTAATTACATTCTGCCAGCCAAAATTCATCCCATAATTTTAATTGGATAAATCCTTTCTGGCCTAAGCTACTGCTATGCCTGTCAAACTGTTGCCACATTTCACCCCAGAGGTGTCTGTGTTTTAGTTGCAAGAATCAGTCCCTTTGAGGTTGGTTTATCAGTTTAAATCCTCAAAGTGCTTTGGGACCCTAAGGAATTAAATATATATTTGAGGGTTTTTTTCCTATTGAATCTGCATAGAAAATGTATAAAATAGATTTATATGCATGTTAATGTCTGTTATCTAATGTCAGCAGATAATTTTGAGAGCTCTTTAACCAGATCAACATCCCTACCTTCTCTTCTTTCTAGAAATTCTTATTGCCCATAGCTTTCACTTCCAGTTTCCAAAAAGTACCTAAGTATCCAAAGTTTCTTTCCACGGAGGACAATAGAAGTGAAGCCCTTATTTTTCACCTCTCCAACAATCCCATGCGATAACTTGCTAAAACAAAAGACAGAGTAGTAACATTACACCTAGTCTTCTCATATCCCTCCAGAGAAGACAGGGGCTTCATGATTATAGCTGTAGCATCTGCCAGGACTAAATCTTCCTCGCCATATCTCCTAATCCTCTTTGTGAGAATCACTCTCCCTTCCAGGACTGCTGGGGCATCAAGTAAGATAAGGCCTCTGAAAGCATCAACACAGAGTTACTCAGTAAGCCTTGCCCTTTTCTCCACTGCAGTCATGTCAAACACAAATCGACAGAAAGCAGAGCCCAGGGTTCTTTTAGAAGGGGGGCAGCCTCTGCCCCCGCCTGAGGTCTGTAAGCATATCTTTTTGAAAAAGACAAGGAGACGGATAGCAGCAAGGCTGATGAGAAGTTTAGCACTGAGATTGAAAGTCTTTTGCTGTCTTCAGGAATGGAAAAGTACCCTCGGTGTTAGTTTATCACGTGTAATTCTGCCCTGTTTTAAAAGAGTGTACATCACATTTACAATTACGTATATTAAACATCTCATTTTTGTTTAACTTAGCATGCTTCGGAGGGACATTTTCATACTTTTTGGGTGAATGTGTTACTTTGATTCCTCATTTCTTCTGCTGTAAATCCACATTCTGGGCATTAGTTGTTTTGCTCATGGTGGATTCTGTCCAGAAACAAGTAAGTACTGGGAAGGGAGAACAGCCCAAAGTCCCAGTGTCACTTCCATCAATGACAACTGCTTCCGAACACTCCCATAGCTTCCCCGTGAGACGAAAGGACACTTTTCTAAATTCTTCATTTTCGTTTTAGCAAGCAGAGAGAAAACAGTTCTTGTTCTCGGCCCATCAGAGTTGAGGCAGGTCAAAGGGGGAGGCTGCGCTCAGGCGTTGCTCCGCAGACCACTTGAACCCAGAGCCCAGTGCTGCTTGAGTGGTGCCAAAATACAAGTGGTGCCAAAAGCTTCAGTGATGCAATACTTTAAGAAGTCAATACAAAGCAGTAAGTCAGTGCTGAACAAAATATCAACATTTTAAGGAACATCAGGAGCCTGTTTTACACTTGTCGGCTCAGCCACACTCACCTCAGCCTGTGGTTGTGTTCCCCTGCGTGCCAGCCCGTTTCTGATTGTAGGGTTGGGAAGAAACTATGCCACTCTGCCTTGCCTACATCCTCTCTTCTGCCCCTGAAATGGGCAACAAAACCAAAAATATCAAGGGTAGAAATTTCCAGGCCAGCAGATACATATAATTTATAGTTTGTTCAAGGGTTTCATTATTCTTGCCTGGAGAATTCCATGGACAGAGGAGCCTGATGGGCTATAGTCCAAGGGGTCACAGGGGGTCAGACACGACTGAGCAATTCACATAACACACACAAGAGTTTCATGTATAGGAGACTTGGCCAATTTGAAGACAAATCCTTATTAGGACAAGCAAAAGAATCAACTCTACTAACAATCCCTTTCACTACCTACTTACCTGATGCATTTCAGAATATGATCATCAGAAAGCTTCCTATTGTGCTGTGGAATTTTGAAATAATGTTTTAAAGAACATTTCAATTAATACAATGAATCATTTTCTCTTTTCACATTCTAGCATTTATCTGTGTTCAGGGAAATATGAGTAGAAAATTTCTCTTGGAAAGATAGACAGTCTAGTTACAACTCTGAGCTTCCACAGCAGGGAGCACAGTTCGATTCTTGGGGTGGGTACTAAGATCCCAAGCAGTGCAGAAAAAAAGAGGAAAAAAGAAGTCTAATTCCATGTGCAATTTTTCTAAGATTACACTTTCACCATATTTTTGCACTATGTCAGATTTCATTCTGCCTTTTTCCCTCCCCTGGGAACTTGAGAAGAATTTTGTTTCTTCTTTCATATAAATGTGGTTTGACAAATGAAGAATTAAAAAAGAGCGACTTTAGTTGTCACTCTGGGACAAGTTAAGTGCAGAGTGGATTTACTTGTTTGGATTAAATTATTTGAATTATGTGATATTATGAAATATGTGTTCTATTAGTCATTTTCTAAATAGCAAATAGGCTTCAGTGCTGCTTACTTAGCGTGGGGAAACTGTGCTATTCATTTATTTTAAAAAGAAAAGGAGCTTCATATCCGGAAAGAAGTTACAATAAACAAGAGAAATAATTCCATTGGCCTTACATTTTTACCTTTAATTATGGGAAATGGATCGCCATTTTTGTCTTAATGAAGGGGGGTGGGGGGAAACAGAGGAATTGCCAGAATTAGCAAGTTTTCATCTTTATTAATATTTGGGAAATATCTTTCCCTTTACACAACATGGATTCTTGGATTCTTCCTCTTTAGTTAACTGATCTCTTTATCATGAAAGACCAGCAGACTACAATGTAAGCATAGTTATTAGTTTAAGCTGGAATCCCTTGTTACGCATTCTATTCCTTCATAGCTGGAATATCTCCTGTAAGTAGCCAAAAAAAAAAAGTCTATGATCTATTCATCCTTTAATTCATTCCTTTCCTTTTCTGCCTTCCACATGGTCATTTCTTTATGCATTCCTTCATTATTTAGCCTAGGTGTCAAATGGAAAGAAGTGTCTCCCAGAGCCACTCTCCAAAGCTGTTTGTTTTTTTTTTAAAAAAACAAAACAAAAAACAACCTATTGTTTATACTGCAGAGGAAGAGCAATCCCTAAATTGACTTTGAGTTTTTCCTGAAAATTTGTCTTAATTTATGAGACTATATTAATTCATAAAATGTATCTTATTTTATCCACAAAAATGCTGAGAATGTTTAGAAACATTTCCCCTAAGTAACATGAATTTTTGGTGCATTATGAGGTTTAATCGGTATCTACTATAAGAAATCCAACTAGTAGGTGATGACTGCCAACTTGTTTTAAGAGAAATGACACATCTTGGGACAGACAGTCCAGTAGTGTTCAGTCATGCTCTGTGCACTTGTAGGCACTTTTGTGTTATTGTTGTTTAATGTCCTAGGTACGTGCAAGTGAATGCCAGCTCTTACTGACACCAACAGGATAACCTCTTGCAGGCACAGGAATCTGAGACCCTCAGCAGAAGCATCCTGTGATGTCTGCAGGCCCTAATTCCCACGTGTGTTCAGAGCTATCCCTTGCTCTGAAAAGGAGAGAACCAGTTCTCCTGTTCTTGGGCAGATCTGCAAGGTCTGTCTCTGCAGGGAATTCAAACTGAAGGTTCGAGGGATTTTGAACCTCCTGGATTTGTACCGCTGATTTGTTTGTCTTTTACTGTCTGGTTCAGTGTTTGAAAGGATTTAACTTTTTTAAATCATGTCTTTTCATTACATTTAAATAGAAAATGTCTAATTTCAGAGGAAGAAGTGGAAAAGTTAAAAATTGTTTTTAATATTAATATTATTTTTAATATTATTTTTAATATTTTTATTTATTTTTAATATTTTTAATATTATTTTTAATATTTTTAATATTATTTTTAATATTTTTAATATTATTTTTAATATTTTCTTTATCCTGCCTTATGCCTCTCAATTATTGTTGAAATCTTACTTGAAGTTCTGTGTTTTTTAAAAAAGATTTGAAAATAAAAACTCATAGAATCTAAGGTCAGAAGGGACCTTAGAAATTCTTATAATGTTTGATCAAACAAAGTTGGACCTGGAACAAGTAGGCAGTAGGGCTGGAAGCAGAGTTTGTGATAAAGTAGGGTCAGGCTAGGCAGTGGGGGTGTCCCTGCAGTCCTGCACTCTAACCCCTAACTGCTGCTTCCACGGGCCCTCCGAACTCCCAGGCGCCTTTGAAAACAAGTGGCTAGTTCAACTACTTTTCTGGGATTCGAAGCCCTTTTTGTAACATCACACAACGTTCTCATCTTTTGAAGATTAACCTTCTATATTGAATCGAATCCATGATGCTGTCTCAAAACACAAGCACTGTAGAAAATCCACACTACTTTTTAAAATTATTGGATTGGTTTTAATAGTATTTTTCTGTGGAGAAAAACTAAATACGAATGGATATTCAAATCTGAAATGATCCATCAAGGGTTTTAATTAATACTTGTGGAAATGTGGTACATAAACCAGAAGGTTTATAGATTCGGGGGGAAGAAGAAAAAAAGACTCAAAAAGATACAATCAAATAGAGTAGACAGTTATAGTCAGACAACAGGCAAGGATGAAAGTGGTTTAGATACTGTATCACTAACAGGTTCAGGAGACTGTAATACAGCCCAGGCCTTCTGGGTGTCTCTGTCACTTTTGACATCAGTATTTTCATTTCCCTATTTGGGGCAAAAGAATGGCAGTGTCCCTCATAGGAGATTTCTGTATTTTATTTATATACGGAGCCCATTTTTCTTTTTTGAAAGCCTCCTTTCAATTTTTTTTCTTTCATTTCATGATATGCCATTTGATCGATGGGCTTAAATTCTGAATGACAACAGAACTGGTCTATAGCAGTGGTTTCAGCTACCCATATTTTAAAGCTGAATTTAAATTACACATGTTAAAATATTAAGTGAAAAATATATAATGAAAATACATTTTGTAAATCAAGATCAAATATCCACTTGATAGCTACTAATTTACTCAAGTGAAATTCAAATAATTCTTAATCTTTGAGTTTTCTTCATTTATTAATGTAAGACATGAAAAAGAGCCCAGTGTTTTTTAGGCCAACATGAATGGACCTAGAGATTATCATACTGATTGAAGTAAGTCAGAGAAAGGCAAATATCATATAATATCATTCTATATGGAATCTAAAAAAAATGATATAAATAAACTTATTTCCAGAACAGAAACAGACTCACAGACATAGAAAACAAATGTACAGTTACCAAAGGGAAAAGGTGGGAAGAAGAGAGAAATTAGGAATTTGAGAGGAACATATACATACTACTATATATAAAATAAACAACAGGGGTCTACAGTATAGCATGAGGAACTATACTCAATATTTTGTAATTACCTATATGGGAAAGAAATCTGAAAAAGAATATAAGTGTTCTTTTATATATATCATATATAAAACTGAATCACTTTGCTATACACCTGAAACTAATACAACATTGCAAATCAACTATATACTTCAATGAAAAACATTTTTTAAAGACCCCAATGTTTCATTTCCCTAAAACATTTATGAAGTAACTGTTCAAAGCATAAAACATATGTTAACTATTCCAATCTAATTAGATTGTTTAAAACATTGATAAAAGTACAGAGAAGACTGTGTGCAGAAAAGATATTTTAAAAATTTATCCTGGGTCACACTATAGTAGTTACTGATATAGGAATAAACTAATCAGAAGACGGTATATCCTTCAAGATAACTTGATCTTCTCAAATATGTCCAGCCTTAAACACCAAATACATTTTTTTTTACACCAAATACATTAATAGGAATATATTATACTTTGTTCATTATAATGAAGTTAAAATATCTATAATAATACAAATTTTATAGATGAAAAGTGGTATTTTCTTTACAGATATTGTGACTTTGATGGTTGTAATATAAATCAAAGAATATATAGTTTAATATGTCTAATGGCTTGTCTTTATAACTATAAAACAGCGTTAAAGCTAAAAATAAACCTGAAATATATCTCATCAAACACTCTAAGGATGTGAAACCCAGACCTAAAAAAGTTAAGTAATTGCCACGTCTAGTGTGTGTGTGTGTGTGTGTGCGTGCGTGTGTGTGTGTTAGTTGCTCAGTCATGTCTGACTCTTTGTGACCTCATGGACGGTAGCCCACTGTAGGCTCCTCTGTCCATGGAATTCTCCAGGCAAGAATATTGGAGTGGGTAGCCATTCTCTTCACTAGGTGATCTTCCTGATTCAGGGATTTAACCCAGGTCTCCTGCATTTCAGGCAGATTCTTTAATGTCTGAGCCACCAGGTAAGCCCATGTTTAGTATCAGTCTTCTGTTTTAAAAATTCAGTGTTTGGAATATGGAATCCAAGACCCTTCTCAGTGGGGTCCCATCTATATACTTGTAACAGATTTTCTCCTTTCCTCTTCCTAACCCTCCTCCTTAGTCTAATCTCATAGCACAACAGTATAGTGTTCGCAAAACACACTTTGAACTACCGTATGTCTCTGGCTTCACTTGTGCTTCGTTCAAAAGTTTATTCTGTGACCACCCTCCACCCACCTAGTAAACAATCTCCACCTCTAGGACACCTTCCTGAATTC